TCAAGTGATATTTACTTAGATCACTGAATATTAATGACCGTAGGCTCCTATATTAATTTGCTTACATTTTAATCGAGTTAGTTTTATTTCAATAAACATTTCACTTAATAGTCAAATGCCGCCTTCAATTTATTTTCGTTCGTGAGAACACTAAAGCCTCCGTTTGAGAGATTAATAAATAATTTATAAAGAAGAAGAATAATAAGATGAATAGTGAAAAATTCCACACAATTGTGAATAATAGTTATGAATTTGTGGTTGAAATTAATGTTCGACTTATTGAATTTATGAATTATTTATAAATTTATATCTAAGCAGAGGCTAAGGCCGTGTTTGATAGACTACATTTTCTACTCTTACAATCAAACGCACCCTAAATGAATTTAAACTTTGGCTATCATATAAGGGATTCTATGACAAATGCTACAATTGTCTTAAAGATGAATAATAGTATTATATGTCACGAGGTTTAATTTTGGCGTTACATTTGAATCAGTCCGGCCTAATAATTATATTCTAAGGTTGGGTCTTTGTAAATTCAAACATTTCGATAGAAAATTCAATTTTCAACAAATTGTAGTTTAAGTTGGTCACTTCTTGTTGAACAAATTTAACAATATTTTTTGTCATTGTTACTTCTGATATTTCTAAGACAGCCAATAGTATTAGGAGAATGAGACCTTAAGTTAATTTATAGGTTCCTTTCCTTTATCTGCAAACCTTTTTTAATTATGGTGCTTTTAATCTCTCGAGCCGTGCTACTTGTCCCGGGATTAAATCCCAGGTCAAACCAAGGGCCCCAAATGGCGCCCCAAGTTTGACCCGAAATTATTTTGCGTCCCAGGTTTGACCCAAGATCTTTTCCTAATTTCTCGCCCCCGCCCCCATCTTATCAAGGACACAATAAAATCTAAAAATAATTTTGTTATGAGATCAAGTAAAATATCTACAAAGAGATTCTCGAGATCCAAATGAGTCCAATTTTGTTTACGTCCACTCATTCATTTCAATTCTATTAACATATCTAACGAGCATATGAATATGCTAATTAATGTCATTGTAACGTTCATAATATTATATTTCTGGTTTAACAAGTTTACCGATTTCTATAGAATAATAACTTGATTTACTCATCACTTAACTAGATTGTGGCAAAAATGACATACACTTCTAAGTACATGACTGGCTAACCCCAAATTTTTTTTTTGTTGAAGTAAATTTGAACTATTTTAAACATATGTATCTCCACTTTAGCTTCAAAAGATCAAGTATGATTTTAAATAAAGAATAGTTTTTATACATGATTTTAAGAATAAGCAAATTATTATTTTTATAATAAAGTAAGAGTTGGGTCAAAAAAATATAAATATTGTACTTAAAATTAAAAAAATAATTTATCCAATATATTTAGAAAAAAATTATTAAAAAAAGAGTTTTATTTACTTTTAACCTTAGCTGAGTTAAAATATATTGTTCATTTCATACATTTTTGACACCTCGATATGTCACATTTTCTTAACAAATGAAAAGATAATAAGATGCTAAAAATGTGTTCATATCTTGTGATTTATTAAAGAGGGATAGTACATCAAAGTGACATGAATATGTTGAGGGACAACTAAAAAGGATGTCAAGTTCGAAACCCATTAATGTGAACTAAATCCAACAGTAAAAGATAAAGCCTACAATACATCCTTAAAATAGAAATTTAAAGGAAAATGAAAATATAATTGTTGATGTTGATAATTATTAATTGCAGAGTAGGTGCCAAGTCAGGGGAAGAAAGGTACGTCCATAGTATAATTGTGTGTTTATCCAGAAGAAGCACTGTTTTGTTTTTTTATCAATCCTTGTACTGTATAAATATACTGATAATGGAGAGGGCCCTTTTCACCTTGCCTTATCATCTTTAAAACCTCGCTCGCTCTCTAGTCTCTCCACATTAAAAACGCTTCTTTTCTCTCTCTGTTTCCTGCGAATCTGCATTCTCTTTTGTTCTCTCAATATATTCGTATGCATTGAAGCATATTCAAGACAGAAACTATTGAATCCCCAAAATTTGTTTAGATCAAGAAGACCCTCTTTGCGTCTTGGTATGTATCTCGATATTTTCTTCACCCAACACCCACCTCTTTGTTTGTATTGAATTTGTCATTGAATGGATTTCTCGAAGATTTCTTTCTTTTTTATTATTATATGGAGCTTTGGGGGTTTTTCTTGTTCTGTGTATATGAATCATGTCTTGGGTTTATGGGACTGCACTTACTCTTTGTTGTTGTTGTTAGTTCTCAGGGGAATGATTGTTGCTACACAGCTAAAGTTTATGTGCAATCTTGAATTCAAAATCATTGGATTTGCTTCATTCCACTTCTATTGCTTGATTGTGATGAGTTATAATTTGTGGTTTACATTTTTTTTCCTACATCTTATTCCCTATTCTGATAGGCTTGGGAGAAGGTGGTATGTTTTAATAATATGGTAATTGTCTTGATGTTCATATTTCTTTCTTGTTACTTGGAGATTTTGGTGTTTTGTGAATTATTGATATGAAAGTGAGGACTATACTTGTAAGGCCTGCAGCTTGTTTGTTGGTTCAAGATCACGGCTATGGTTTTTTGTTGTCAAACCCCACCTCATAATTGATTGTGAGAGAGTACTAAATTTGGATTGTTGAAGCTCTGCAGTGCCAAAATAGGATCTTTAAAAGAAAGAGATTGGCTAGTTTGGGGTTAAGGACAAAGCTGAAACTCAAAACTCGAACTCGTAGTACTGCACATGATATCCTTCCTTGGGATGCAATAGGGACAACCTAGAAATAACCTATTTTAGGAGTAACTGAAAAAAGAACTATTTATCACATTCGTAGGTTCACTTTTATTAGAGTTAGTCACCCTTTTGCAGCCTTTGTGATGGTCCCTTTCTGTTATGGCTATTAAATCCCTTGGAGAACATCTGAATTTCTTTTTTGTTTTCGTTTGGACTTTGGTGTTAAGTTGTTTTGATCTTTGCAGATGTTTTGGTGGTCTTATAGTTCTTTTTTCATACAGTAATTCAGCAAACTGTGGATGGAGATTTATTAAAGTTTTCAAAACTTCATCAATATAGGATGTAGAACTTAGTTTTTCTGGATATGTTGATAGGTTTGGGATATCAACCCATATATTTTCTTTGTTTTGAATACTCACATTTATATTCGTTTAACCAAATAAATTTTTGGTCAAATATTCAATTTGTTATAAGGCTAGATTATTAGATTGTGTCATCACATGATCTGCAGTGATTATTTGGTTAAGATGCAAAAATTGAAGGACTTTTTTTAAAACTAAAAAGTTAAGAAAGCAATAAAGTCTTGTATAATTTTTTCTCTCTTTCTTTTTTAGGTTGCAAAATTCAGTTTAAACACATATTTATTAATTTATTCAGACTTTACTTGGTTTAGATATGATATTGAATATAGGAAGAGATAATGCCAACAATGTCTCTATTGAACCCATATTTGAAGATTTTAGAAGATCCTCATTAACTACATCTTCTAGAAGTATCCTTGTGGGTTCATCGTTGCTGTGCATGATGTTCTGTTTAACATTCTACGGGAAATTATGCGGTGTCTAGTTATTTTAAAATTTAGTTGGTGGTAGAATGGGATGTAGAGTCGAAGCAATGGCTAAAATTCTGCAAGAATTAGAGAGGCTTTTGTTGCATAATTAATAATCAATTGACCTCTCACCTACTAATTTTATTGCATGTCTTTTCATATAACAATAGAAAATAGAATAATATAATAACTTTGGAATAGAGGAAAGAAAGTGATAGATAATTTCTTGATTTTTTTTATTGTTGTCTTCTCATTATCATGTACGCGTCTGTAAACATCCTTGTTCAATCTGTTAATCTTAGGTAGATTATACCACTCTATAGTCGTAAAAAGTTTATTATTAATGTACGAGGCATGGTTTTGGATTGATGATTATTCATTTTCAATATGTCCAAAACCTGATTAGTTATTAATTTATTATCTCCGTGCACGGATACTTCAACTAGAGGTAGCGTGTACGTGTCCGACACGTGTCGGATACCGATACTCATCGAACATTCTACTATGATTTTTTTCTTTTTTTATTAGAAATATTATATATGTTAAAACTCAAAGTTATTAATAAATAACAAATTGATACTTATATTTAGAAAATTTCAACAAGAAAAATTAATAAGTATAAGTATAAATTTATATTTATATTATATAAATGAATATTTTTAAAGAATTTAATTAACGCATCAACAACATGTCGTGTGTCTACATATCAGACATGTATCGTGTTGGACACGTGTTCGTGTCGATGCATCATAGGTTATTATAATTGCAAAGCATATGAATTGGAAATTTCTGTTGATAGGACCCCAATTTTGGGTGGTCCTTATGGGCAGTTGCAGCTTATGGGGTCATTCAATGAATTTATACACTGCACTATTTCCTTAAAAATAATTTAATGAGACAAAAGCCCCCGTTTAGCACCCATTTTTTTCTCATTATTTTTCTCTTTCTTCATTTCAACCACACATTCTATCAATAAAATAATATTACACATAAACCTAAAAATTCTCTTTACTTTTTAACCACACATTATTCCATCAATCACTATTTAAAAATACATTTTTTTACAAAAATGGGTGTCAAACACCCCATTCATATACCCAAGGATGGATTAGGACCTCTATTTTTGTGCCTTGCCTTTTAACAATTGCTAGAATTATGAGGCATGTAGGTTTTTATTTTATTCTTTGGGGTGGTTGGGAGTGGGGTTTGAAGTTCTGCATATATGTCCACTTGAACGTGCTTCTGTTTTCTAAGTATTCAACATTTTGGTACTTTGATATTTGATTGGTTTCTCATCATTCTTGATCTGCATACATAAATAAAGTGGTTTGAGTATTAATGATCTTTCATTGATGATGTTATGTGCAGGCAGGCACCAAAGCCGTAAGAAGTTTGATTAAATTAAATGGCCACAGAACGTTCTCTCTCGGAGGCTGCAGTACAAGGTGGTTACAATGAAGAAAAAATTGCGTTAGAGAAATGGAAATCGTTGTCTTCTGCAGACAATGAGTCTGGAACTAATATTTCCGGTGGTTTTGAATGTAACATATGCTTGGACTTAGTGCAAGACCCGGTGGTCACATTCTGCGGTCACCTATATTGTTGGCCCTGTATCTACCGGTGGATAAGTTTGCAGTCTCTCTCTCCTGAAAACCCCGAGCCTGAGCATCCACAATGTCCTGTCTGCAAAGCAGAGATCTCACCGAAAACCTTAATCCCACTCTATGGCCGTGGAAACAGTACGAAGCCGTCTAAAGATAAAGTTTCACATCTCGGTATTCTCATACCACAAAGGCCTCCAAGTCCTAGATGTGGCGGTAATGCGCTCATCCCAACCACTACCCTAGGGGATTCACATCCAGTTGGGCAACTTCACCATCAAAGCTATGAACAGCAGTCTCGATCATATCAGCCACACTCTCACTACTACACGGCTTCACCTATGCTTCCGAATGGTGGCACGGCTACAAATTTGATTGATCCGATGATAGGGATGTTTGGCCAAATGGTCTATTCAAGGATTTTTGGCAATTCAGAGACGGCTTTATATACTTATCCGAATTCTCATCGTCTACAAGGTAGCAGTAGTCCTAGGCTAAGAAGACATATGATCCAAACTGATAAATCTCTCAGCAGAGTTTGCTTTTTCCTTTGGTGTTGTGTAATATTATGTCTCATTTTATTCTGAACAATTTTCCCTCTTCTTGTAGTCCATTTTGTACTTGTCAAAACTCTCTGTAGCACTTGATTAATACAACTCGGCCCACTGTAATGAATGTTGGAGAGTTTTTACATTTTTGGTGCTGCTGGTATATTTTTGCAATGTCAACACTTGATTTCATATATATGCTGATATTTATTTAGGGTTTTTTTTTTAAAAAAAGAAATCCTAGTGAATAAATCATAAAATTATTGTAACCTGATATAAAAAAACAACCCATTAATCTCTTTTTTCATTATATTACAAGTTATGCCCCAAATTATTTAATAAAAATGATGGTCCACAGAAAAATTAAATTGCTTTATATCTTGAAGTTTACTCCTTAGTCTTCCAATTTTGTCTGATCAGGGTCTATCCTATGATTCCTATCCTATCTTCACCATAGCCATCCATGTTGATACATGTCATTTTCAGTTGCTTATCTCATTTCCTAATAAGTGGTGCGACACTACACAATTTTTGCTTTAGTTATGGAATTTACTGTTGTAGATAATCATATTTTAGTTGTTTTTTGTCCAAAAAGGCCGGCAAAAAACTTTTCTAGATAAAAATTTGTTGTTAAAAGTGTAATTTATTGGTTTTGATGGTGGACACCACCGCATCGTGGCGGCTACCATGATTGTTGAGGGTGGAGATGATTCCAAAATTGGTAATCTAGTTTGGCCTTGTTCACCTAAACTTCCAACCAAGGAGTCAAAATTGGCAGCCTAGAATAAAATTAGCGCCACCTACTTAGAACTAGAACAAGACTGACGTGCATATTGGACCCACATTCCCCTGGCACCACTAGGAAGTTTTTTTGTTCCTCTTGAACATTGGTGGTGCACCTTGTTAATAATATTATAAATAAGTTAGAGCAAGTTGGAACCATAAAGATTTGTGTGACGTTGATTCAAAATCAATTTGAGAATAGTCTTAAATTTTTAAACAACTCAATGAGTTTGGTTTATTAAGCTGACAACTATCAAATATGTTATACTCGTGTATACGTCGCCATAACGGTCGAATTTGTGGTCAATGTGATCCCACCAACTCGGCTTGTGAAAAATCAACCTGGTGCCTATCGAAATTGAATTGAAGGCACGTTTAGTTAATTCGGCCTTGGAGGGTTGGCAAACAAGAAAAAATAAATAAAATAATGATGGAAAAGGTAGAGTTGGAAGCATTGAAGTTTCTTTGACAGAAGTTTGATTCTCAAAAAGAATTCAATAATTTACTTTATATTTCTCTTTCCTTGGTTCTTCTTTTTAATTTGGTTTATTTAACTAAAAAAAATATCAAATGTGTTGTTCTTGGGTACATGTCCAGATAGCTGGAGATAATGGTTGATGTGACAATCAACTTGAGTTGTGAAAAATTAAACTGGCACTACATTAACACTATCGAAAGCACAATAATTCTGCTTTGTCTGAGTGCGATGAACTCGTTAACAATAAACTCAGAATAGGAATTTAAAGGTTTAGGGCTAGAGGAAATTATACCTGTTTTTAAATTTCCATTTTCAAAAATCATGTCACAAATTTAAAGTTTCAAAAATCAGGTTTTTTATATTTTATTAAATATATTATTTTCATCCTAATTAAAATAAATCTAACTCTAAAATTCATTCTAACCTCCCATCCCCATTTTCCCCTCCCCTTCCTCTCTCTCCTACCTCCAACCTCCCTCCGTCAGTCCCTCCCACCCATGCCGGAGACTACAGATGTCTTACCGCCACCATCGAAGAGTCGTCGCCGTTGTAGAAGTGCACACAGTCCTGCGATATAGTTTCACCGCCGCTACAGAGATCCTGTCATCTTGGGCGGTGTGTGGCGGTGTCGCTGTATTTGTGGTTGCGATGTGAAGGTGGGGTGTGCGTGCGTCGTGCGGCGGTGGTGATTCTTGTGCTGTGGTTCGGTATTTTTTTTTTTTTGGTTTTTTTTTT